GTTCACATGACACGTTTGTTCACATGACACGTTTGTTCACATGACACACGTTTGTTCACATGACACACGTTTGTTCACATGACGCACGTTTGTTCACATGACACACGTTTGTTCACATGACGCACGTTTGTTCACATGACGCACGTTTGTTCACATGACGCACATTTGTTCACATGACGCACATTTGTTCACGACACACATTTGTTCACATGACGCACGTTTGTTCACATGACGCACGTTTGTTCACATGACGCACGTTTGTTCACATGACACACGTTTGTTCACATGACACGTTTGTTCACATGACACACGTTTGTTCACATGACGTACGTTTGTTCACATGACACACGTTTGTTCACATGACGCACGTTTGTTCACATGACGCACGTTTGTTCACATGACGCACGTTTGTTCACATGACGCACATTTGTTCACGACACACATTTGTTCACATGACGCACGTTTGTTCACATGACGCACATTTGTTCACATGACGCACGTTTGTTCACATGACACACGTTTGTTCACATGACACGTTTGTTCACATGACACACGTTTGTTCACATGACGTACGTTTGTTCACATGACGTACATTTGTTCACATGATGCACGTTTGTTCACATGACTCACATTTGTTCACATGACGCACGTTTGTTCACATGACGCACGTTTGTTCACATGACGCACGTTTGTTCACTTGACGCACGTTTGTTCACATGACACGTTTGTTCACATGACGCACGTTTGTTCACATGACGCACGTTTGTTCACATGACGCACGTTTGTTCACATGACGCACGTTTGTTCACATGACACACGTTTGTTCACATGACACACGTTTGTTCACATGACGCACGTTTGTTCACATGACACACGTTTGTTCACATGACACACGTTTGTTCACATGACGCACGTTTGTTCACATGACACACGTTTGTTCACATGACACACGTTTGTTCACATGACGCACGTTTGTTCACCGATGGAAACGGGGGTGATGTGAAAATGAGCGACGTTACTTAAAAATAAATCAATTAATTTGTTTCCTGATAATTGATTTAATGTGATTTCTGCCTGTTTTACTCGATTTCTTTATTTTTTTTTTGTGTAAATTTCCTGCTAATTTTTTTCAACCTGTTATTTTAATAAATGCTACTAAAGAACAAATGTTCCTTTTGTTGTACGTTTGTTTGATAAAATATTTAAAAGAATAAATGCAGCCAACAGTTTGAACACCAGGAGGCGCTGCAGCTCATAAATTAAAAATGTAACGATTTATTTTGTGTTTTCTCTGCAGGCGGTCAGTCCTTCTTCAGCCGTAAAGACTCCATCCGCACCGTCTACACCTCCTTGTACAACGAGCTCAGGAAGGTGGTGACGATGGGCCGCCACAGCCAGCCCTCTTCCTCCTCCTCGTCCTCCTCGTACCTGGAGGACCTGCTGTCTCACCTGTCCGAGCAGCTGTGTCACTTCACGCAGGCCCGCATGGAGCTGGCCGACCTGTACGAGAAGCTGCACTCCCTGGGCAGCCAGAAGAGCGTCAGCTCCGAGGAGCTGCTCGCTGCGCTGGAGGTCGTCCTGCACAAATACAGCTCCAAGTGAGTATCCCAGTACTTTTACTCTAAACGTGTTGCTCGAGGTACCACAAGGGGTTACTGGGAACTTCTTTAAATCTTGATTTATCCAGTAAAAGTTTCAGATAATGAAACCTGGCACACTTTAGTTTTAACGGTATATTCTCCCTTTTTACACATAATTTTCACTAAATCCTTTACAATGAAAGATAAAATAAAAAGTTTGACACGAGCTCATTAAACTCGCACAGTTTGTATCCGTGCTGAAGTGAAACTCCTCTGAACAACAGAACTCTGTGCAGATGAGCGACACATTGAGGTTGTTGGAGAGAAGCTTTCTGCTTAATCCGACAAAAGCAGGATCCAGTTTCCCCCGGAGACGTCGGCAGAAACACAACGTGAGGAGCTGCAGTCGCTCGCAGCTCATCGGTCCGAGGTGAAGGGCTCGGCTGCAAACCCGACGGGACAAAGTCCTGCGCCAACGTCTTTATTGACTCCTCATTTTCTTTGTTTTCATTACTGTAGTCCCTCGTTTATCGCGGGGGTCCGTATCCTGAAGCCCCGTGATAAGTGAAAAACCGCAAAGTAGGAATAATAGTAGTAGTAGTTGAATTTTACACACACACACACACACACACACACACACACACACACACACACACACACGTATATATATATATATATATATATAT